GCATCATCCCCAGGCATCATCCCCAGACAGAGCTGCGCCTGTTTTCAGCTGGCTGCCTAGGGTCAGTTAACATATGCCAGAGGACACGGTGTGTCCTCGTGCTCAACCTGGCACCTGCACCAGCCTCTGACAGAGAAACGTCACAGGCCTCAGGTCCCCACACCCTAATGGCAGAGGGCCTGGAGAATTGTGTGGGGAGTCTCCACTCAGCCCCCTGTGTCTCAGAGCTCCAGAGGTATGGGAGCCCTGGGGCTTCCTGAAGGAGCTGCCTCGGGGCATCTTCTATCTCCAAGCTCTCCCTTTTCCCTGGAGTGCTGAACCACGCCCCCTCCTGCCAGCCCGCTTCTGTGCCTGAACACCTGGGTGATGGAGAGGTGCCTGGGGACCCTTCCCCCCTTCTCTGCAGGGCCAGCTGCCACCCTTGCCCTGGAGTCACTGGGGCCCTGAGCACCCTTCTAGCCAGCACTACCTCTGCTCTGTGACTTGGGTCTTTTGCTCAGACTCCCCCACAAGGAGTGCTGAGGGCGGGAACCATCTTATTCCCCGCTGCATCCCAGGCTTATTTGGGGGGCCCAGACAACAAATGTCTGCGTGACATGAGACAGGAAATAAACGTACAGCTTGGTTTGAAATGGAAACTACATTTTTTTTTCCTCTTAGTTTTCTTTGTTGCTTAGAAAGGATCCAGCATTAAACGCACCTCCCAGGAGAAAAACGCAAATATTTTCCTTTACACCCAGGAAGTGCATGGAAGTTAAGTTAGCCTGGCCTTTGCAGAAAGGATCTAACCGAAAGAAAAAGAGAGAGCACTTTGGGGGCGGAAGAATAAAGAGGGTGAGGGTGAAAGAGGAGAGAAGGGGTGCCGTGCCCCCAGCTTCTCAGGCTGGGAGCTGGTCCTACCAGGGAGGTTCCATTTTGGAGCGGTGAGAAGGGATGAACAGCTGCTTGGGAGGGGCTGTGAGTGGGCCTTGAGAAAGGCCACTTGGGGGGCAAAACTGGGGGCGGGGGGTCCAGCAGCTGGCCATGGAGTGAACCCTCATTGAACAAACCCCTCCCCACAGGCTGGTACTTACAGAAGCCTCCCCGTGATGCCCAGGATACCAGCAGCCAAAGAGGGGGCCTGGGGGCCAGCAGGGCTGGGCCGATGATGGGAAGTCTCTGAGCTGGGTGGTGACACCCTTTAATAACTGAATCAATGGGGAAAGGGTGGATTCCCTGGCAGTGCAGAGGTTAGGACTCAGCTTTCACTGCCGTGGCCCCTGTTCAATCCCTGGTTGGGGAACTAAGATGCTGTAAGCAACACAGCGTGGCCAAAAAAAAAAAAAAAAGTGGGGAAAGGGTGGTGCAGAGAGTTGGACGTGCAAGCCCTTGGGAGGCAGCCCAAGGCTCTGTTCGCTTCAAGGTCATGGCCATGACACCCCGCCTTCCCCTACCTCTCCCAGCTCCTCTGCCAGACCATCTGGGCCCGAGGACCTCCCCCACCCGGTGTGAGGTTGAGAACCCACAGAGAGAGGGGGCCGTGAGCCCTCGCCGCCCTCACTGTACATGGATAGCTCCCTTCTCCCCTGCTGCTCCCGCCCTGCGGGAGGCTGCGGCCCCGGGCTCACTCGTCCCCTCCTGGGGATGCTTACAACGTGGGCTTTGGGGCCAGGCACCCAGTCAGCGGCTGTGTGGGAAGCAAAGGTGAATTCGACTTGCTGCTCATAGTTTGGGGCACAAAGCTGGCCTGTTAGTCTGCTCTAACTGCGTCTAGGAAAAGCGCCTGTGTTCTTTCTACTCACAGACTATTCTGAACGGCACATATGTTGGTTTCCCCATCAGGTAACTCTACAACCCCAGCTGGGTGCCCTCCAACTCAATTCTGACACTGTCCTCTGAAGAGAGGGACAGATCCCACAGGGTGAGGGCCCAGCCTAATGAGACTACTCCCCACCCTCTTCAGATGCCAGTCCCAAGTCCAGTTTGTCATCTGTGCTTCTGGGCCAACTGCCTGTAGGTTGGAGATTCCCATGACCCCTCCTCAGCTTTGATTAATTTGCTAGAGTGGCTCACAGAGCTCAGGAAAACCGTTTCCTTACTAGATTACCGGTTCATTAGCAAAGGATATAACTCTGGAGCAGCCAGGGCAACCTGGGCATCGGGCAGGAGCTTCCCTGCCCCTTCCAGAGGTGCCACCCTCTGGAAGCTCCACTACGAAGTTCTCCAAACCCTGTACTTTGAGGATTTTTATGGACTTCATGATTGATCAAATCATTGGCCATCGGTGACTGAACTCACTCTCCAGCCCCGCCCCCCTCAGGTCTCCCCTGGGGGCTTTCCAAAGTCACTTCATTAACATAAACTCAGCGGGTGAAAGGGGCTTGTTATGAATAACAAAAGATACCTTTTTCTCTCCCACGTTTAGGAAATTCCAAAGGTTTTAGGAGCTCTGTGGCAGGAAGTGGGAGGCGGGGCTGAAGATGAAATATACTTTTCTTATTCAAAATCACAAGTTGCCATAACAAAATACCACAGACTGGGTGACTTAAACGACAGACATTAATTTCTCACAGTTCTGGGGGCTCGAAGTCTGAGATCAGGGTGCTGGGAGATTTGGTTTCAGTGAGGAAGTTCTCCCTAAAGCTCCCCAAGGGACCAGAGCATGCACCCTGGGTCAGGGGAGCTCCCTGTTGACGGATCTGCACCAATGGGAGGTGAGGGGGTTTGCAGATGCATCGCCTTCCTTTGTCTCTGGGCTCTGCCCAGCACCTGGGGAGCCACTGCTGTCTCCTTACTGCCCCTTGGGGAAGAACGGTCCTCTCATTTCTGGTGTTTCCTCACCCTCACAGCCCTCGGCTTTCACTTCCCAAATAAAGAGGCAGCTCTTCAATCTTTGCCCCGTGCCCCGACTCCTAGAGCCTGCGGCTAAGGCACGTGCTGCCCCTGTTCCTGCATCCAAAGGCAGGAGGGAATCGGGAGGTGGTGGTGATTCTGAGCCGTGTGTGTGAGGCACAGAAAGTGCCCAGGAGACTTTCCCGGCGGGAGGGCAGACGTGAGGGGGTGGCTGTCACTCCCACCCTGGATGGCCGACCTCTAAACTTCCCTGACAGAACAACCACACCCTGTGGTCGGTGTCAGAAGGAGTCAGCTCGGGCTGCTGTCACAAAACACCATGGCATGGGTGGCTCACACCACACACATCTGTTCCTCACACTTCTGGAGGCTGGGAAGTCCAAGGTCGTTATGTCAGCAGGTTTGGCTCTTGGTGAGAGCCCTCTTCCTGGCTTGCAGATGGCCATCTTCTCCCTGTGTCCTCACATGGTGGAGGGAGAGAGGGTGGGAGAGGAGAAAGGAGAGGAAGAGGACTTGGGTCTCTCTTCCTCTTCTTATAAAGCACTAATTCCCTTCTTGAGGGCTCCACCCTCATGACCTAATCAACTCCCAACCCCATCCCCCACCCCCACCCCCGCCGGATACCATCACAGTGGAGACTGAGGCTGCAACATACGAAGTTCAGGGGACCAGGTATTCCGTCCATAACAAGCTCACAGCAAACTCAATTGTAATGGATAAGCACCCTCTACTATCCCCGATCTGAAAATAAAACGATAACAACAAATCCTTTCTAGAATTCCATGCTCCTCTCCATTTACTGCCCTCCTTCTCTTTCATTTCTGTTTCAACTGTGTTGTAATTTGAAAGGATTCATGGTCTCCACCCATGCACTCATGCATCTCCATTTCCTTTTGCTCCTGGTTCAAGGTGGCATTGACCTCCACCTGAGGCCTCATGCCCAAACGCGGCCGTCATCTGTGATCCATCCCTCTCTCTTACCTCCTCTATCCAGTCCACCACCAAGTCCCCATGGTCCAGCTTCCAGAATATTCCTTGCATCTGTCTGCCTCTCTCCATCTCCATGACCACTGCCAGCATCTCCCACTTGGCCTTCAGGAAGAGCTTCTTCTCCATAGAAACACTCTCTCTCCAAGCTTTCTGGAGCAGTGTTGTTTTAGTTAATCAAAAAGTGGGCTCAGGGGCTTCCTTGGTGGCGCAGTGGTTGAGAGTCCGCCTGCCGATGCAGGGGACACGGGTTCGTGCCCCGGTCCGGGAAGATCCCACATGCTGCGGAGCGGCTGGGCCCGTGAGCCATGGCTGCTGAGCCTGCGCGTCCAGAGCGTGTGCTCCACAACGGGAGAGGCCACAACAGTGAGAGGCCCGCGTACCGCAAAAAAAAAGATAATAGTAATAAATATCTGCTATTTTTTTCTTCCTAGAATCTACCCTATTCAACTGGCAACAGTATCTGAAATTTTCCTGGGGAAAATGAATCCTTTATAAATCAGCAGCGTGGTTACTGTGGGACGTGACCCTGCCCAGGTTCAATGCATCACACTTTCCCCGCCCAGAGAGACTGGTTCCGAGGTTGGTGCCTGAACCGGATCAGGCCAATTAGTCAATGTACTGGAACCCTTCAGAAAGAGAAGCTATTTGTCTCAGAGTTACTGCTGGTAGGATTTAAACTTAGAGCTGCTGAATGGCACTTTTATTACCACGTGTGGAGCATCTGTATGAAAGTGGACCCTAGAGGGAAGGGAGCTAGACCGAGGGATGGAGGGAGTCGGAATCCTGACAGCATCATCTGAGTCTTGGAATCTAGCCATGCTTGGGCTTTTCAGTTATGTGTATCAGTCAGTACTAATCCTTTTTCTTGATACATTATTAGTTCTTGATTATTTTCATTATTATATATTATGTCTTATTAAGTCTTAATAAATAAAAGTTGTTCTTCAGCCTAAAAAAAAAATTCAAACATATCTTAACATTTTTAACTTAAATCATATAGAAGTACATTCATCAGTCAACTGTGATGACGGGGCAAAGCCTCCTCTGAGCCTGGGTCACGTGGTTGGAGCACGAGTGGCTCTTCTCACACAGGCGGCCCCCACACCGCACTACTCATAACTCCTACTTCCTGTTTCTTTAAAATCTGAAAAACACTGAAAAGTATTTGTGAAACAACCTGAGTGCAGGCTCCGTTTAGATTGTTCTTCTTTTTTCTGTGGTTCTTTTCCCTGTGTGTGCTGGTTATCTACTGCTACGTAAAAAATCCCTTCAGTACTTAGTGCTTGGAAGCAATGAGAATCGTTCATTCTGTCTCAGTGTCTGCGACCAGCAATTCAGGAGCAACTGGATTATTCACGTGTTGACTGGAAAAAAAAAAAAAAAACCTGAAAGTTTCGACTTATGTTTTATTTGGGGAACTTACTAAGGACCATAGCCCGGGAGACAGCCTCTCAGAGAATTCTGAAGGATGGTGCCAAAGAGGTAAGGAAGGAGCCAGGACATATAAGAGATTTTTATTGTAAAAAAAAAAAAAGAAAAGAAAAAAGTAATCAAAAGATTGCTGCTAATTGCAAAAAAAACAAACATCTCGAGTTAATGATTGTAGTGTTTTTCTATGTATGGGCAGGTGCAAGAGTCAGGGCTCATTGAAATTCTTCCTTTCATATGCATCTTAACTATCTAGGGCCAGTATCCTATTTTTCTCCATCCCGAATTCCCACCAGGGTGCACCGTCGGCTGATGGCTTGATGGAAGGTAATGTTCTTTTTATTTTTAATTAATTAATTTATTTATTTTTGGCTGCGTTGGGTCTTTGTTTCTGCGCGCGGGCTTTCTCTGGTTGCGGCGAACGGGGGCTACTCTTCATTGCGCTGTGTGGGCTTCTCATTGTCATGGCTTCTCTTGTTGCGGAGCATGGGCTCTAGGTGCGTGGGCTTCAGTAGTTGTGGCACACGGGCTTAGTTGCTCCACAGCATGTGGGATCTTCCCAGACCAGGGCTGGAACCTGTGTCCCCTGCATTGGCAGGCGGATTCTTAACCACTGAGCCACTAGGGAAGTCCCAAGGTAACGTTCTTTGTTAACTGAAATGGCAGGCAACGTGTTTTTCATCCACACAGGTCTGCTCAAGTTTTCTCATGAGGCTGCTGCCAGACGGCGGCCAGGGCTGCCCTCACGAGAAGGTTCGGGGTGCTGCAGGGTCCACGTCTGCATCTGCTCCCTCACGGGGCTGGTGCCAGCTGGCGGTAGGAGGCCTCACCTCCTCTCCGTGTGGGCCTCTCCAAGAGGCTTGCGTGTCCTTATGGTGTGAAGGCTTCCTCCAGAACAACTGACCCAAGGAAACCAGGCAGAAGCTGCAATACCTTCTGTGACCTCACCTCAGAAGGCACTGAGTGTCACCGCAGTCTCTCAGCCTCACGCAGCAGTCTTGATTCAGTGTGGGGGAGGTTTACAGAAGGTGTGAACGGCAAGGGGCCTCCTGGAGACTGGCTACGGCACCAAGCTTAATTCAACAGCAATCTATTTAAGGCAGCTCACCTAGAATTAATCATTCTCAAAGCATTTAATTTAGCATTCAGAGAAACAACTCTTTAAATCCACATTTTATCATTTTATGTATGCTTAATAACAAGCATAACTGACATAAGTGGATTTGGGGATGTAACAGACTGACGGGGGGACAGGTACGAACGGCCGTAGCAGCCCGATGACGCAGGCACACCAGGGAGGTGCTGCCCACTGGAGATGCTGCCAGTGGGCGTCACCTGGAGCTGCAGAGCATCAGTTAAATGGAGCCTAATGTACTGTCAGGTTTCCCCGGAACCTTCGAGAGGGTTGAAGAGTCTGTGTGCCCAGGCCCACTCTTCATTTCTTCCATGAACCTAGGAGCTGTAGAAAGTGTGTATTTGGTTTAAGAAAAGTTTAGTTCCCTCCAATAAGCATTCCCTGAATACCTAGACATCCAGGCACTGATGGTAAGATGAATTCCTCTGCAGGGAAGTCACCATCCACAGCAGGAGATGTCAAGGTAAAGAAAGCACTTCAACATGGTGCTCGCTGACACGGAGGGAATCGGGGAGGCGGGAGAGCATAGGGGGTATGTTAGTCTCCTGGGGCTGCCATGGCAAATGGGGGGGAGCCTAATCAACAGAAATGGAGGCCAGAGGTCTGAGATGAAGGTGTCGGTGGGGGTGCATTCTCCCGAGTGTCCCCCTTTGGCTTGTAGTTGGCCGTCTTCTCCCCGTGTCCTCATGGGGTCGTCCCTCTGTCTGAGTTCTCTGTGACCTCATCTTCTCTTCTTATAAGGACACCAATCATGTTGGATTGGGGCCCATTCACACAACCTCATTTCACCCTAATTACCTCTTTCAGGCCCTTTCTCCAAATACAGTCACGTTCTGAGTTACTGGGGGTTAGGACTTGACAGTATGAATTTGGAAGGGACACGATTCAACCCTACCAGGGAGGGAAGGGCATCCACTCCAAACTGGGAGCCTCAAATGGGTTCTGAGAGCAGGCACTGCCTCAGCTGTGTCCTGACAGATGCATAGGGGTTTTCCTGGCAAAGAGGGGGCGGGCTGGGGACATGAGCTCTGCGTGGACAGTAGGAGGGGAGGGGGGCCACAGCCATTCAGTGGGGAGTGTGGGGTTGAGCAGGAGAAGCCCTCTTTATTTTATTTTATTTTTTTTATATTATTTTTTTGGGCTGCACCCCGTGGCACACGGAACTTCCCCGACCAGGGATCGAACCCACAGCCCCTGTGGAGTCTTAACCACTGGACCGCCAGGGAAGTCCGTTTTTTTTTGTTGTTGTTGTTGGTTGTAAGCCCTCCTTATTTTAGACTGGGTCCCTGGGCCCCCTCCCCCCAGCCCTACCTTCTCCTTCTCGGGGCTCAGCTCTGGGGAAAGAGGGCTGAGGGTCCCCCACTCAGAGCCCAGCCTGAACCAGTGCTGCCACTGTTGCCTGGAGGGAGTCTCTAGTGTGTAATGTGGCCTTGAGCGTGGAAAGTTAACTCAGTTGGAAAGAGTAAAAGGAAGTTGGAAAAAAAAATGTTAACTCAACCACAGGCATGATAAAGAGATGGTGAGGTCACTAAGGCTTTTGGAAAATATGAATCTGCCCGACAGTCTGAAGGAAAAAGAGAAAAGCAGGGCCAGGCGAGTCCCTCCCCTGCCTGTGTGTGCAGCCCAGGGGGCGTGTGTGGTCTGGCCCTGCGGGACGCTGTCCTCCTTGGAAGAACCTTCCCCATCCGGCTGTGGTCTCCTCGGGCCAGCTTTGCTGCAGTTGGGCGTTTGACTCCAATTCCTGGGAAGGAGAAGGCGGGTCATACATGATCCTTCTGACCTAAGTCTCACAACAGAAGGAAGTGCTCCCAGGAAGCAGAGGGAGTGTAGGGACACACACACACACACACACACACACACACACACACACACGCTTCCCACTCAGCGGGATACCAGGTTTGCAATATCTGGTTTGGGGTGTTTTGGGCAGGGCTGGCCCGATAAGGCTCCTGGCTGGCCTGAGGAAGCGGAGTGGTACCAGGTGGAGCCAGGCAGCCTTGAGGGCTTGGTCCCTGGGCACCTTCCTCAGGCAGAAGCCCTTAGAAACCTGGGTGAGGTCCCCCCGTGGGAGGGGGGACCCCACGGCAGACTCCAGCCCTCTCATTTCACAGCTGGTGGACTGAGGCCCTGGAAGAAGAAAGGCCGTGCCCAAGGTCACCCAGCCGGTCAGCCACAGCACCTTCCATCCTCGGCCCTCCGTGCCCGTGTGTCCAGCCCTGCGTGCCCAAGGACCCTGGGGGTACAGAGTGGCTGGCACGGGCTGGGCTCAACCACCCCAGGAGCTGACAGGGTGGGATCCTTCTCGCTGCCAGACCTGACCCAGCTCCACCTGCTTGGGAACAGGACTGAGGACCAGCAGAGAGGAACGCCTCTGGCCTGCCTTCCGCCCTCACTCCCTCTCCACCTTTCAAAGTCAGAAAACCTGGCTCATCTGACATATGCTGGGCCAGAAAGAGGCCGGCACCTGGGCGCTTCCCGCAATAGGTGTGCGTGTGCGTGTGCGTGTGCATAAGAAACCACTCCCTGCCTGCCAGTGACACAGCTTCTGTAGTTTTGGCTTCTTGTTGGTGACACGCCCCTGATGCCCAGGGAGCAGCGTGAACGGTGATGAAGCCGATATTTGCAGTGTTTACAGCTTCGAAGCCACGCTCCCTTCCCCACGTTTGGCCTCCTCTTGGGTCCTGCTGCCTCTGGAGCGCGCTGGATTTCCCTTTCCCCCCGGCAGGGAGGGGAGATGGGAGTCCAGAGGAACAATGTGATTTGCCCAGAGCCACGCGGGCCTGGTGCTGCAGAGCCTGCCACGAGCCCTGTCTCCTTCTCCAAGTTCAGAGCTGTCTGCAGCATCCCCACCTGACACCTCAGTAGCTTCCATGCTCTGCAGGGCTGGCTCTAGACCAGCATTCTCAAACTTTGTGGTGAGCTATTTGTCTCACCTTCCACTCTTAAAAATTGTAGAGGACGCCAGAGATACTCTGTGTATGGGGTTATATTTATCAATATATTGTAATCGAAATTAAAACTTCCAAATTTCAGAGATATTTTTATTAATTCACTTAAAAATAATAAGTCCTTTACATCATAACATTTTACATGAAAAAAACCCCTATATTTTCTAAAATAAAGCAAATTTAGTGAGAAGAGTGGCAGGCATTCTTTTACATTGTTTGCAAATATCTTTAACGTCTGGCTTGATCGAGGATTTGCATACCTGCTTCTGCATTTATTATAATAGTGCCCACATCTGGAAAACTCTGCTGTACCTTCAGAAGCGAACTAGAACAATGAAAGCAAATAATGTCTTACTATTATTACGGAAATAGTTTTGATCTGCAGATCCTTTGAAAAGGTCTTGGGGAACCCCTGGGGTGCCCTTGGATCACACTTTGAGAACCGCTGCACTGCACACTCTGAGGTACGGTTTGCCTCATGCGTCATCTTCATTCACTACATCTCCTTGATTCTAAGCTGCCCCCCAACCCCCAGCCACACACACATGATAATATGTGTGAAATTCTAATGAATCTTGTCATTGCATCTGGTCTATCCCCTCCCCTCATGCTCTTTTGCAATTGCAGGTACATCTTTTAACAGGTGGCCTCTTTGAATCAGGGGCATGTATTATAATAATCATTGGCAGGAGACTCTGCAGACTACTCTCAGCACAAGGGCTGGCACACTTAGCTGGCACGTAAACGGAGCCCAGGCTGAGGTGGGCACTGGGGCAGAGGTGGAGGTGGAGTCCTGATCTGGCCAGTGTGCACACCGGCAGCAGGAGCCGTCCGGCCCCAGCCTGGCTTCACCGCCTGCCCAGGACGCCTCTGCCCCCACCGCCCCTCCAGGGTGTGTGTTCTGTCCGGGGACCAAGCTGCTGCACTAAGTGTCTAGGAGTCTGCCTTCCCACCTGGCTGGGGGCATCTGGAGGGAGGCGGAGTATCTTTTCCATCCTTAGAGCTCAGGTCCTGGCACCGAGCCTCCTCTCAGACGTAGGAGAAAGGAGGCTGCCAGGTTCCGCCCCGACAGCTAGGGAAACTTTAGTTCCCACAGACCCATTCCCGGGAGCAGATGGAGGGCAGAGGCAGCAGAGGGATTGGTTCACGCAGGGCAGCTGTTGAAGGGCAAAGCCAGGGTGTAACCCAACACAGAGGGGAGCTCTCTTCTGGCAGCTCCTCCAGCCTCTAGAGATAAGCTGATGGTGCCAGCAGGCAGGGAGCCTCGCTCCACACAGAGGTGTTGTTTGGAAATCCTGCTGAGTTTAGGCAAGTCAGGAAGCTGATGGCTCCGGGGACGTGCAGGGGTGTCCTCCGCCAGGCGAGTGCCCTCGGGTAGCGCTGAACGGGCCCCTCCCTGCCCTGGATGCAGCCCCGCCTTCTCAGAGTCACTGGGGAGTTCTTCTCATGCGTGCGGTCTCCGGGGCCCCAGCTTGGTGCCCAACACAGCGCTTGGCACCTAATAAGGGTTTTTGGAACTGAATATTTCAAATGCACCAGGAGACGTGTATTGAAAGGATCTGCAAGGTGACTTAGTTGCCCAGCGACTGTTTCATCTGGACCAGGAATAGTGGCAAGGGCGCTGACACACGTGGGGTTTTCTATCCTGGGTTTTCTTCAAATGGAGCCCACTGGGTACTTGTAGCTGAGGCAGCTAGAATGTTCAGGGATTCTCGGCAAATCTGAGCTGAATTCTTCCTCCAGAGGAGGTGACCAAGTGAGGAAGGCCCTGAAAGCCCAGAGGGCCGAGTCCTGGGCAAGGCCAGCACCTCTAGTGTGTGTATGTGCAGGGGGTGGTGGGATTAGGGGCAACCCCGGCTCTTCTGAGCCTGTCAGGCTTTTGTGTGGCCCAGGACCCCACAAGCATCCGTGTCTTAATCCCTGAAACCTACAAACGTTATCTTCTATGAAGAAACGGTTCTGCGTAGGTCACCCCTCCACTTAAAGATCTGCCATCGTTCCCCACTGTCCCCAGAATAAAGGTCACATTCTCTGGACTTGAAATCTCAGACTACTGTACAAAGTCTCTCCTCTGTTCAGAGCCTCCTGAGAGGTCTTCCCCAGGTTTGTCACCTCTGCTCCTTGTACCACTAATGGCTTCAACTCTCGCCAATGCATCCACGTAGACACAAGCTGAGATGTCCCTAAGACCACCCAGACCATCCCTTCACACATTTCCTGCCCCCCCAGTCTTCCCTGCCTGGGTTCCCCCAAGCCCCAAACCTGGTGTGGGACAGGCCAAAAACCAAGTCTGTTGCCTCTTCTTCCTGGACACACAGTTTGGACTGTGTTTCCCAGGCTCCCTTGCAGCTAGGTGTGGACATGCGATGGAGACGGAGCCCGGGGAACTTGGGTGGAAGTGATCTATGGATCTTCTAGTCCTGGCCCATAAAACCCTCCCCCTCCTCTCCCTCCTTTTTCTTCTAGTGGGTAGAGGGCAGGGCAACCCCCGGGGTGACCCTGGGGAGCCATGTGTCGTACAGGGTGGCTCTACAAGAGGGAAGAAGCCTGGATCCCTAAGTCTCTGCTTGCAGCTAGCTGCCTATGACACCCAGATTGAAGCCCTACTTGAGCAGGATGTAAGCTCTGCTGTGCTGAGCTGCTGAGATGTGTGAGCTGACTTTCCTTATCTGGGCACCTGGCTTCCTTCTGAACACTCCCTCTGCCTCATCTCCGATCAGAGAGAAACCAATCCTTATCCTTTCAAAGTGCTAGATGTCTCCTGATTTACTCTCTGTGTGTCCTCTTTTTACTAGTTCCAGCCTCAGTGACTCCATCCCCAACGGTCTCCAGTTTTGACACGAGAGCCCCCACTCCCACTTTTCCCCATGTTGCTATCAGTGCCACCTGCCCATCTGCTGGGGGGACCACGTCACGCCCCTCCTTAAAGCCCATGAGGGATTTCCATTGCCTTTGGGACAAACTCCAGACCCCTCCCCCTGGCCTGAGGCCCCTCTGTGATCTGCGGGCTGCCTGCCTCTCCTGTCTGTCTCCTGCCTCATTGCCTCACCACACCCCCAAGGCTGGGCTGCAGCCACTCACCTCCCTGAGCAGAGGTCTGCCTCACGCTTGCGGACAGTGGTTCCCTCTGCCTGAAATGCCCCTCCGCGCACACTCGGGGCTCAGTGTGTGTGCCTCGCTCCAGAAAGGCCTTTCCTGGCCACTCCAGGCTGCACTGTCTCCTCTGAGCTCCACAGCCCGTGTTCACGCCCCTTGGTGGCCTTTGTGCCACGGGAGCCATTAGTTGCCTTCCTGTCTGTAGAGGATGTCTGTGGGATTTTGTCTGCCCAGCACCCTTTTCCAACTGGGGAGGTGCCCGTTTTCCTGATATTGCAGTTAGTTCTGGGGTGTGTCTGTCAGAGTGTCTGAACCTCTCCCTGGCCCTGGGATGGGTTTGTCACCTAGACCTGACCCATCACCGTGGGATGGCTGTGTCCACATGGTCAGTGCATGAGTGGCCCCAACCCTACCCACCTACATTCATGCTTTTGCCATGTGACTTCGTGGTTTCTCCCATCACATGAATCCTTTGGGTTTGGCCGTGTGTCTTAGTCTGTTCGTGCTGCTATAACAGAGATACTGTAGACCAGTGGCTTATAGACAACAGAAATTTATTTCTCACAGCTCTGTAACCTCACATGGAGGAAGGGATCTCTCTGGGCACTAACCCCATTCACGAGGACTCCACCTTCATGACCTAAGCACCTCCCAAAGACCCCACCTCCTACTACCATCACCCTGAAGGTTAGAACTGGTGGTGGTGGCCAGGGTTACTTTTCTGGTGGTGGTGGTCAGTGTTACTTTCTTCCTGCTCACCTTTCCCCTCCATTAGGACGGAGACCTCTACCTTGTCCAGAGGGACCCACGGTCCCAGTTTGCGTGGGACTGTCCCAGTTTGAGCATTAAAAGTTTTGAGTCCCGCTGAATCCCTCAGTCCTGGGCAAACCAGGATGGTTGTTGCTTTGGTCAGCCCGTGACACATACATATATCGATATAGTAGACACTCAACAAATATTTATTGCATGAATACATAAATGCCATTTAGTTAAATTTAATACCATCTGATCTAACAGACTCACACAGATACATAACAATGTGGCCTGAGTTGCAGTCTGCAAAACTCCTTTCTGTTAACGGTCGTGACCTGATCTCCTCCTGTTCCTGGAAGGCGGTTTCGGGGATGGAGAGGTAGGTATCCCTCATAAGGAAACCAAGGCTACTGATGCCTACTTCCCAGCTCAGAGAAGCTAAAAGTCAAAGTGGTTCCCCGAGGCCAGCATGGTGGTGGCGGCCCCAGGAGGAGGGTGAGGCCTCGACAGAAGTGTGAATCTCCCAGTCCAGGCTCTTCCTCTCTTCCTGTGCAGTTGCCTCTCCCAGGGCCTGCTCAGACCTCTGCTGTCCTTTTTCACACGAAGGTACATGTTAGTTACATTTCGTCCTCACGTTTCTTGAAAGCATTTTGACAGAGCGTGAGGTGGGAGTGGGTGCCAGAGGAAACGGCAGCCCTGCACGCTGGAGGGGAGCCAGGGGGGAGTTCAAAGTGCCGAGGGAGGTGGCGGGAACACGCTTCTCACAAGTGTGAACATGACTTGTTCCCAGCCGCCTGTGCTCGTGCACCAGGAATGTAAGTTCTGTTTTGTTTTGGTTTGGTTCTTCGTAAGTTCTGGTTTTGATGCCAAGAGAGCTCCGAGTACAGCCCGGCCAATTCCGCTTTCAGCAGAGACTAAACTGCTTCCCCTCCCTGCAAACTATGAACTCACTCACTGTGATGACGAAACCGTAGGGGCAGCAACTGTAGTCATCCCGTTGGACGGAGCCTCCCTCGTTTCCAGAAGAGCAGACAAAACCTCCCTGACCACATATCAGTCCTTCCTGGTTTGCAGAGAATCAGCCCCAGGTAGCAAGAGGGTCGCCATCTTCCTAGACACAGAGGAAAGTAAGATCCATCTTTGTACTCTGGGGGGAATATTCCGGATATCCCCCGCAGGCTGTGACGTTCTGTGAGTCCATTACACCAGCGTGCACCCGACACAAGCTTCTAAGAAGCTATTATTGGCTGGGTGTCTGGGGGCCCTGGCTCAGCACAGAAACATCGTGAGGGACTCTGGGAAGCAGTGGGAAGACCCAGAGGGGGTGAGAACAGGGTGGCCACTGAAAGGGTCTGCAGCAGAATTCTGCCCTCCCTTCTGTGACCCTCCCCCACTGCCTCCTTCAGAACTTGGGTAGCCAGGCTCGTTTCACCGTCCTTCCCTCTCTGTTGTCACTCCATGAGGTCCCCATGCGGTGTGCATCCGGTAAGGCTAAGTTGTATTGTGTGTCACTGGCCATATCTTTTCACTGTTGTGCTTTTTTTTTTTTTTTTGCTTCGGCCACACCTGATAAGATGTGTTTGCTGATGGGAGGGTGCAAGGCAGGACCCAGCAAATAAGGAATAAGAAGTGGAAGGTGGCAGAAGTGTTGGCGAGGACCATGGGGTGGGGAGCGCGGGGAGGGATGGAGGAGATGATGCGGGTGGTGACATAACGCTCAGGGCTCAGGGAGTTCTAGCTCAGCCAGCAGATGGAGTCAAACAGGTCTGCCCTTGGCTTTGCGGATCTGGGCCTGTGATGACGTGTCCATTGCAGACTCCAGCACATTTACGTACCCCAGCTACAGAATCAGTCACTGCCCAGCCCACAGCCTGGCTCAGTCCATCCCTTGTCAAATGCTACACGTGATCATAAAACATCTTCTAGGAAGAACATGTTTCCACTTGGGGCCTTTGGAACGACAGCGTGAGGGGAGCCTAGCTTCAGAGCCTGGGAGCTTGCTGCCTTGGCGGTTAGGGGTGTGGGCGCGGAGGAGAGTGAGCGCCGGGCGTGCAGAGCCCACGCCGGGAGACACCGCAGATCAGACCACCTTCCTGCCGTTCACTTCCTGGTAACGGCCCAAGGCTGGCGGGTCCCCAAGGGCTCCTCGCCTTGGAACCCACCGTGTGCTCACCCCTTGGAGAGCCACGTTTGGGGAGAACGGGCTGAACGTCGAGCTGCCACAAAGCACATCTCTGTGATCGGGCTCCGGAGGCGCCGCCCGGCAAGCTGTCAGCGGAGCTCAGAGTGCTGGCCCATGACGCGGGTCGCCATGGCAACCTTGCCCCACACCTGGGAGCTGCCCTGTGGTCCCAGCCACGGCATGGAGTGATGGGGCAAACCCTGCAGGGGCGAGGACAGCAGATCCCCTAGGATGGGGTACAGGGGCAAGGACCTGTCTGAGGAGCGGGAAGGGCCACCTCTGCGTCTTCACCAGGCCCCGGCTCCAGCCCAGCTGCCTTGAGAGCCATGTGCCTCTCCTGGAACCCAGAGGCTGATGGGGGAGTCTCCTCTACCAGGGTAGGGCCAGCTTTACAGAGGGAATGTGGGCTCTGGTCCGGTGATGGGGGTGCTGACAGGTGCTTCTGAACTCCTGTGTGTAACCATGGTGTGGCCTCCTGCTGCGGGGCTGTGGCCAGCTCTGTCACTAATTCCCAAGAAACGTGCTCACCTGGCTAGGGTGAAGGTTACTTCTTTTTCCTTAGAAGCAAAACAAGGTGGCACCGTATGCAGAAGAATTTATCCTTTCTAGTGACATCTCTGACTCATCCCACCGTCCCCTGCACACCCCAACAGGGCCTGGGTGCCCTGGAACACCCGCTCCTCCCGGCACTTACCTGGCAGAGCCCACACAGCTGTGGGCCTCTCCCACCCCATCAGCCTCCACCCATCCCGACACAATCCATCCTCCCACGAGCACCTGGACCAGAGGACCTTGAAGGGGGCCAGACTGAGAGTCAGACAGCCCCGGGCTACATTCTGCTTCCTAGCGTGGTCACCGGAAGAGATTCCTTAGTTTCCTCAGCCTCAGTTTTCTCATCCATGAAGTGGGCTAACAGTAACGAGGCCTTGGTGCCAGGTGCACAGTGGGTGATGGTCCGCTGAGCAGGAATCTCAGTTCTGAAGCCGTGACAAGAGGGAAGGGCCAGTTCCCTCAGCCACCCCACCTCCACCTACCTTCCCTGAGCCTCTGTTTCCCTGTCAGCAGACGAAGGTTACACGCCAGCGTCTGTGTCCAGGGTGACCAGGGGACCACAAGAGACGATTCGCAGAGCCCTGAGCCAGCCAGCACTCGGGAGGGGCTGCCATGTGTCAGAGAACGGCATTCTCTGCCCAACCAAGCAGCCCCGTCATATATCTCTCAGAACTCAGCTAACGTTCCCAGCCCACATCCGCTCAGGCTTCAGGGGAGAGGAGACTCAGGGGGTCCGCTCCAAAGAGCCCCCGAACCCCTGACCTGGGAGCCCTTCCAGGCAGTGGCCTCCATGCTGCCACCTCCATTTCTCCTGCCGCCCAGGGTGGGGAGACATCCGAGAGAGTAGAAGTGGCTGCAGGATCGGCCTCAGGGACAGGGGGACAGGGCAGATACCAGGTATGACCTGGCTGTCTCCTGCTGGGGTGGCCGTGATGAACATGAGGGTGTCAAGGACAGAGGTCGGGAGCAAGGGCACAGAACCTGCAGCACCCAGGGGGAGTCCCTGGCTTGTTCCACCAGCACAGAACCTCATTCCCCACCCCGGGCGCCGCAGGACTACATGGGCACACAGGCAAAACTCCCACCCGCAGGTGCACGCCACACACGTACACACCACACACACAGCACACAACACACCACATCGTGCACACACACACACCGCACACACACACCACACACGTACACGCCACACACACATCACACAACACACCTCATCGTGCACACACACACATCACCGTGCACACACACACGTACCACACATGCACACACAGCCCAGCAAACAGCTCCCTGCTGGAGAATTTTTCAAGAAAAACCGGACAGTTCCCCACTCTCCTCCTGGGTCTGATCGGCGCCGCAGCCCAGCTGGTGTTAGGGCTGTTGGCAGGTGGCTGGTGGATGCCCGGCTCCCCGCAGCATGGCTGTAACTCATCCATTGCAGTTGGCAGCGCCCCTGCCCGTTAAGAGAGAGGAAAGCCATCCTGGAGGCCGGCTGCAGAGTCGGCATGGCCGGGACGGGGGGCGTGGTGTGTCCAGAGGCCACTCTGAGCCCACGCCCCACCCTGCCGGGACAGCGGCCCCCTGCCCGGGGAGGCTCCAGCCAAGTGCTCATCAGGCCTCAGGGGCTCTGCTAAGGCCCGGCTGAGCCGGGAAGGGGCCCAGAAAGCAGAGGCTTTCCAGGGGGTTCAAAATGCAGGCTGGCACCAGGGAGGGAGGAAGCAGGCTCCCTTCAGGCCGGGGTGGCCACCGGAGGGCAGGTGGGGGTGTCAGGACCGCCTCTTCCCGGGACTTGCGGTACAGATGCCGGGCGCTCCCCGCAGCCCTCTCTTTCCCTGTTCTAGACGCCACCTTCTCAGGAGGGCTTCCCCGACCGACCCCACCTGACACACCCAACTGCTCCCTCACCCCACCCTGTCCATCGCCTCGTAGCTACAGTCACAGCATGTCATCACTTGTGCGCCATCGGGGCAGAGTGCTTAGACCCTGCCAGGCCCTCAGTGAACATCTGTGGGAGCGGGGGGAGGAATGGGGGAAAAAGTGGGTGAGAAAACAAAGGAAGAAGAAAACCACCTGTCCAGCCCCTTCCTGCGTCTGGAAGCTGCTGGGGCTCCTCAACCAGCACCTGGTCACAAGTGTGGGAGAAACGGCGCTAGTCCTTCTGGAGCCCGAGGCTGCTGTCGGTGGGGACAGGGCCCAGTCCTTGGAGCGGTAACGGAGGTGCCCCGCCCCCTTTCCTTGGCACGGGGACAGTGACACCTCTCACTCAGAGCAAGCAGCTTTCTGACAACCCTTTCTTCCCACTGCCAACAGGCACTGCCCCCAAGTCCCTGACCTTTACTGGCTTCTGGAGCTCAGCGAGGAGGGAGGGCAGGCAGCTCCCTGGCAGCGCTGAACCCTCATCTGGCCACCTGTAAAGGGTGCACAGGCTGAACAGGCAAGGCAGGTCCTGTCGCTCCTTTGCTTGAAACCCTCTGGCGGCTCTCATCTTGCTCAGACCAAACTCCCTGCCGTGGCCAACACGGCCTGCCAGGCTCGGCCCCTGCTTGGACTTCACCCCTAACACCCGACCCCTGTTTGCGCGGCTCCAGGCTCTCTGTGCCTCGAACTCTCCCAGCACGGCCTCCTCAGGGCCTTTGCACATGCTGTTCCTTCTGCGGCAGTGCCTCTCCCAGATGTGCTCACCTCCGGCCTGTCTCTACTCAGAGGACCTCCTTCCACCCCACATAGGTTAGCAACAAAGCCCACCCCACCCCCCTTAGCCTGCTTTATTTTCTACTTAGCCCTTTTATCACCTGACATTATATTGTTATTTGTTTATGTACTTTCTGTCCCCTCCCTCAAATGCGAGTGCTAAGGGGGCAGGGTTTATGTCTGTTTTGCTCATTGCGGAATCCCTATCTCCCACTAGAACTGTCCTGGCGTGTAACAGGTGCCCAACCAATATCTATTAATAGAACGAAGAGCAGAAACTGTCTACTCAGCAGAGTACTTGGCATATCAAAGGTGATCAATAGATGCTCTGGCTGGGACCTGCACATACGGTTGCCAGATATAGCAAATAAAAACACAGAATCCAGCATCACTTGGGACACATACAAAAAAATTATTTGGTGTTTATCTGAAATTCAGATTGAACTGGATGTCCTCTATTTTATCTGGCCACCCAACCCACATAGCCCCCTGCTCTGACTCTGTCTCCTTGCCTTCCTCTCCCTGTGGCCAGTGACCCGCGGTGCCCGTGGCCCAGCGCTGAGAGGCTCTGAATTTCCCCACCGGGACAACCACACCTGAAGAGCAGCGTCCGCAGAAGAGGTGCTGGGAATCGTGGTGTCGGGCCTGCTCTCTGGGGCCTCACGCCCGGGGGGCTTATGTCCTGCACCCAGCCCTGCAGCTGTCGCCAGCATCGTCACCCTGCTTGGAATGTGGGATGCCAGATGCTCGGTTAGAGCCTTCGAGATCAGAGTGTGATGAAGCCACTGGTAGGAAAATCCTGGAAGTTGACCTGGAAGGGACCCCTCAGCCCTCCTCCCTAGGGAGCAGAATGTGGTGGCCACCCTGGAAACCTCGCAAGGCCTTTGAGGGGACTGTCCCCACATTACACTCCCTCCCTGCCCTCGCCATCACCAGGGGCTGAGGTCTCCACGTCATCAAGGGTGATGTGCTTCTCCACTAAGGATGGACACCAGACCTCTTCTCCCTCCACGAGTACCCCGCCCCCCCCCCGGGCTGTTTCTCTGTGACCGGGACCACCCCGTGGGCCTCAGGGCTCTGACACCCTCCCCCAGGCCTCTGCAGCAGCCGGGACTGTGCAGAAAGACTCAGAAGACCTGACTCAAAGCCCACTTGCACCTGACTCACCTTTAAGCGAGTTAAGCCTGCAGAGTCCTGGGCCCACGCAGACTTCCTGGATCTGAATCCCTGGGGCTGGTGCCCAGAATGCCCCAGGGACGGTCACGCACACTAGAGTCGGGGAACCTCCAAGCAGGGGAATAGTAGCCAAAGGTAACAGGTGGATAAGGTGCCCAAGGCCAAGGCCACTTCCTCTGAGAAGCCCTCCAGGGCCCTCCCTGGACAGACCTCCCTCCTGGTTACCAGCGCCCTCGGGGCCTCTCCTCCCATGACTGCCTTGGGTCTGGCTCATTGCTGAGCTTCTTTCTCCACTAGACTGTGATCCCCGGCCGGGGTCTGTCTGGCTTCTGCCTCTCCTTGGCACCAGCGTGGAGTCGGATAGGTGGCTTGTGGGATCAACAAATGGGCCAAGCACCTCACCAGCCTGTCGGTCACTCTCCCCAGGTCCCGGGTGGGAGAGCAGCTTTGGGCACCCAGGAGTGGCCAAGCTCGAGCGTATTCACCACTATGGGAACAGCAGGACCAGTACTTCCCGTAGCTTCTCGGAGCCAAGCGGGCAAAGCCTGGCCTTGGAGCTCAGCCCAGCTTCCATCAGTCTGTCCAAGCCCGGCGGGGCTGTCCTAGGCCCATGGGACACCTCTCACCAGGGCTCTGCCCCAAATCAGGGTTGGGAAAGCCCTTCTGTCCCCAGAGGGCGGGTGAGGACGTGTTCTCTCCAGCAGCTGAGAGCAGCCCTCTCGTGCCAGCACATAGGGAGGGCAACGCCCCAGAGACCTGCAGAGAAATAGCCGGAACCCCTCCAACCAGTCCTGAAATGGCTACACCTAGGCTTCTATTACGTCTCCTTGTTCGTTCTATGAAATGGCTCTCCCCTTTAGCATTCATTTTTGTATTTGAATTTGTATTAGGAAATATTTCAAATAGAGACCAGTACAGTGAACTGACTTTATCATGAAACTCAGCATTGTTTGTTACTTTCAGTGAAAATCACCCCAATACAGCTCCAGATCGTACAGCCCAGAGAGGGGAAGAGAGCTCCCCTCCATCTTCCCCCGCTTTTCTCTTCTCTCCTCCACCTCCCTGCCCCTCCCGCAGAGCCCCGGAGCCGGGCTTTCTGGTGGGTCTGAGCCCACGGGGTCTGGGGTCCTAGGCGGGTGCTCGGGGCCCACAGGAGTCCTCTCCACTCATCTCCTGGTCTCTCCCATGTGTAGTTCCCAGGGGCAGGGCCCCAGCCGCAGGAGGAGGACATCACACAGGGCTCAGAGCCTGCACCAGACCTGGGGAGTCTGCCTGGAGACTCCTGGGCTTGTTCCCCAGCGGCAGCATTTAGGGAGTGTTCGGTGGGCTCGTGTCCCAGATAAGGAAGCCGAGGCCCAGCCCCGAGGCCTGACGCCCAGCCCTCTCCCCCGCCAGGTGAACTGCTCACCAAGGCCGGGCCCACGTGGGCTCCTGAAGAGGGGCCGACTCAGGGGAGGTTTTGCGGACAAAGCAGGAGGTGAAAGACCGAGGCTGGGGCTTCAGCTGGAGGGGCGAGACCATCTGGGCTCAGATCCAGAGGCAGCAGTCGTGTGCGGAGGGCAGGGAGGGAGCCCCAGGGCACAGCTCGAAGCTCGGGAAGAAGGAGGACCGCTGAGCCCAGCGCTGGCCTGACCCCCAGTCGGGATGCTGTCTGTGAAATGGGGCTGCTAACTGGGCTGTTGTGAGGACTGTAGGGTACTCAAGCCAAAGCCCAGCCCGGTACAGCATGTAGTAAGTGCTTAACGAGAGGCACTCGCCCGGCCATGGTGGCCGTGTGTCTGAGAGCCCCGCGCATCCCTCGGCCTCCCCCACGCCCCCCCCATCGCCCACTCCACGCCCTCCCACCCCTCCCACACGCTCAGGCCTTCCCTGGAGGGTCCAGCCCGGTTTTTCTCTCTCCTCCTCTGGAAACGTGGCTCTCACGTCACTCCACGCGCTGGTCAATATTAATAAGGAAAGTAACCACCACCAAGGTTCATGAGGTACCTCAGATGCCAGGCTGTGTGATAAGCACTCTGTAACCACGAGGGGCCGAGGGGCGACCCCTCCATGCCCCACGCAGCCCCTCTCCTTCAGGGAGTAGTGAGGGGTGGCCCGGCCCTGGGGGTCCCTCCTACTGGTGGGCTTCTTGGAGGGTCGGTTGGGCCCACACTGTTGTCGCGGTTCGGATACTGCCCTGTGCGTGGCCTTGGACACGTCACTGCCCACTGTGGGCAGTTTTCCTGTCTGTAGGATGAGGGATGTGGTGGAACAGGTGCTCCTTGGGGCCCCTCCAGGCCCACACCATCTGATTCTGCGACTAAAATAATGACAGTCGCACAAGTGCTTCCCTTGCCTATTGGAGCCTCGTTTTCACCACTTCCATTAAGACGTGTACATATTTTTAACATCCTCCAATGCCCTCAATTTGCTTTCTCATTTTCATCCTCATTTCTATTGCCCCCTGGGACTTGGGACCTAATTTTAGTGAAGGCCAATTGCAGTTTCTCAGGCTGCCCCTCTGGACACCCACCTCTGCAAAGCAGGCCTTCCTGCTGCCTGGCTCTGCGGCAGGGGCATCCGGGCTTGGCCGGGCGGGGGCTGGGTGCCTGGGAAGGAGTCGCTCAGCTCACTGCCACGCGGAGGCCTGGCTGGCGCACGCTGGCCTCAGCGTCCTTCTAAAGGGCTCAGAGCTGCGCGAGGCCCGAGTGGTCTCTGCTTCAACCTTCTCCCCTGCGGCGGGGGACCCAAGGCCCAGGCAGCGGCTTGTATAACCTGGCGAGGATTCGGCTAAAATCCATCCCACAGTTCAGCACCAAGGAGAGAGAAGGGCTCGTGGGGTCACTCCCTGTACGCATATGACAGCGATCAATGGCAACGCGTCAGATCTGCCGCTGGTAATGCTGCCCTTGAATCTGAGTCTCTCAGGTACCCAAGGTCGAGTCAGAGGTGCCCTTGGTTGCCCTTGTGGCTGACAAGATCCCTGTGCCCCAAGAAGAGGCCACCTGAGTGGACGCGAAGACGCTTGCGGGGGTGGAGGGTTAAGCGGCTGCCCGCGCGGGAGGGTTCTGAGGGCACTGGTTGCATCAAGTGGCCAGTTGGGCTTGAATGTGGATTTGCTCGCCCACCGTCTACGCTCCCCCCGGTGCCCCTGTGAGCCCCGCCCCTGGCTCCAAGGCTCCCCAGCTCCAGGCTCACGGGTCCCTGGGCTTTCCCCACCTTCCTCCCAGCCCTGTTCCAGCATCTTTAGTGGCTGCGGGCCAGAGCCCCTTCCTTCTGCCCTTGCGCCTCTGCCGCCTTCCCTCCGCTTTGCCGGCTGCACACGTGGGCCTGGGCATCCCAGGGTGGCGACACGACCACCTTGTTTGCTGTGACGACCCCGAGGCTCAGGGAAGTTAGGGGAACGTGCTGCAGGCCCCCGGCCTCGCCTGGCCGCGAGGTGGAGGTTAGGGGCATGTGGGTGAGGGTGGGTGTGCGTGTGCGCTGTTCTCAGGCAGGCCCAGCGCTGCCCGGGTCCCTACAGGGCTGTGGAACCTGCCTGCGTGTGAGTCGAGGGCACCCAAGGGGACTATTCCTCAAGGGTGGGCTTTCTGTCTCTGTTAGCTACTTCCCCCCAGAAAGGCCATCCTCAGGGCAGGGCACACTGCCACCTCTGACCCCTCCTTCCTGCAGGCCCCCGACAGCTTGGGGGTGAGTCTAGGCATGTGGGTGCCTTCCTGGTCCCCAGCATCGAGCCCGGCCCACCTCTGATTCGCCCCCCGTGTCGGGGTCCCCTTGCCTCCCCAGCAGGGGCAGGGCACCCAGTAGGTGGTCAGGGATTCCCATGAAAGGAAAGAGAAGGAGGCTCCGAAGGGCTCCCCCCGCCAGCCGGGCCCGGGGCCATCACGCCCGGGCACCTGCAGAAAGGGCCGAGAGCCCCCCTCCCAGGGGACCCGTCACATGGACTCACACACATGGCGGGAGGAGAGCGCAATGGAGAATTCTGCCTGTGGCTTTTCCTCCCCATCACCTCCTCCCGGAGCTCTGGCCATTTCTCACAGCTCAGCCGCCTGATTGCTCAGGGCCTGTGAAAGCCTCTTAGATCTTCCGGGACCTCCCCTTTGCTACTGCTTCCCTTCCATCTGAAGGAGAATTGGGTTGGTGTGGAAAATGCAGCCTGAGCACCTTGGGGTGGTGGTGGGGAAGCCCTGGAGGCACTGCCTCTCCCTTCCCCCCTGCCCCGCCCCCCAGCGTGGCCCAGGAGGCCACACCCTGCTTCCCGGGGTTGACTGGACACCCTGCACAGGGCGAGGCCAAGGAGGAAGGGGGCTCTATGGGGCTTTATGGGAACAGACCAGAGATGTCTCATCAGGCAGCTGCACTGTCCAGCAAACTGTGCCCCAGTGGAGGGCTGTAGAAAGCCCTGGTCCCAAGGCCTGGGTGGGGCTGCCACAGGAGCTGGGGCTCCGTCCTGCCTCCCACTGGTCCAGAGCACCAGGCCGTTTGACCTTCCTCTGCAAGGCAGGCGATGGAAGAGGCCGGCAAAGCAGCCCCGAGGAAATCCGGACACTCAGGCCTCTCTTGGGCTCAGGGCCGATGAGGGAGCCTTGGGAAAACCAAGGCCAACAATGCAGTCCAGGCTGGGATGATGCCAGGGCGGACACGGCCACTAATTCAACACCCACCAGAGCCCATCTCCGTTACTGACCCAGCCACAGACATACACGTCCAAGACGGCAGAACTTCTCGATGGCCCTGCCACCAAGTCTGGGAGATCCCGGGCAAGTAATCACCGACCTGAGCCTCAGTTCTCTCACCAGCAGAGAGGGGGGTGGAATTAGATGACCTCAAACATCTGAGATGCCGCAGCTCTCACCCACTCTGTGTTCACACGGAGATGGGAGAGAGGAGCTCTCATTTCCGGGGAGGGGCAGTGGGCTTGGCTCCCACGTCTGTTTTCATTGCTTCACCCGGTGTTCACGTACAGCTCTACCTCCCAGCAGCACAGGTGAAGAAGAGCCGATGAATGAGGCAGTGTGTGGCCAGGCTGTGTCCACCTGCCGTGCTGTCCAGGGGGATAGAGAGCTTTGCCACTGGTGCCGTTTAGAGTCCTGCTTCTAAGGACTGGCCTCCTGCCTCTCCCAGAACATTGAGAGATGCTACAGCTGCAGGAACTGGAGCCATTAGGATCTAGAGACCACCTTGACCTCTCTGTGCCCTTCCCATAGAGGGGCCCAGAGAAGGAGATACCTTCCCGAAGGTCAGGGGCAAGGTATGTGAGAGCCAAGTCTCAGACAGGATGGTTTCTTCCATCCCGATATCCTGCCAAGGGCCCTTGAACTTGTTCTGAGAACCAGGGGCAGCCTTGAGAGGAGGCCAGCCAAGGGGGCGGACAGCAGAGCAGCCCCTGTGTACACAGAGGAAGAGCAGGCATAAAAACATCAAGGTCGGGATTTCCCTGGTGGCGCAGTGATTAAGAATCCGCCTGCCAATGCAGGGGACACGGGTTCGAGCCTTGGTCCAGGAAGATCCCACGTGCCGCGGAGCAACTAAGCCTGTGCGCCACAACTACTGAGCCTGAGCTCTAGAGCCCGTGAGCCACAACTACTGAGCCCACGAGCCACAACTACTGAAGCCCACGTGCCTAGAGCCCGTGCTTCACACAAGACAAGCCACCGCAGTGAGAAGCCCGAGCACCACAACGAAGAGTAGCCCCCGCTGGCCACAGCTAGAGAAAAGCCCGCACTCAGCAACAAAGACCCAACGTAGCCAAAAATAAATAAATTTA